GAGGCCACTCTAAGAGAAGCTTGGCCCCTAGTCGACACACTGCTTTAGCAATGTCAATCTTCTTGCTGAGATCTTCACTCTCATTAATATCTGACGCATGAAACGACAGCGCGGCTTTGGCCGCCGCGTCCGCATCATTATTGCATTTGCGACAAAACCTTTCGAACTGGTCGATGCCAGCTTCATCTAAATCCTTGTGAGCGGAAGCCTTAACAATATCCAGAATGCACGTGCCTTCTCGAGCATTGGCTTCCATGATTATGCCACTGTACACCCTCTTACCCGAGAGGCGCTCGCCAGGAGGCAACTTAGAATGCTTGGCCACATTCAAACAGTCAGAGAACAGGGTGGAAGGGTACTTGGCCATATTGCCAGCCATGCCACGCGCTAAGTATTCGCCAGCCTGCGGGGTCTGAGGGTATTGGGCCCACACAGGCCCCATAACCTCACCTAAAAGTTCCCCGCTGTCATTGTGCATCGTGATGGCCCACGACGCACGGCTAAGTTCCCGAATTATGTGCCGCCTGCAAGACCCGTCGAGAAACAGCGACCCCCAGACAGCACCTTCCTGGGGAGCCTCGAAGCCTTCGGGGCCCTCGAGCAGATCACGGTGCCAGCGGAACACCACATTGCCTTCGAGGCACGGCCTCGGAAGGGTGTCGGCGGGATGGGCGAGAGCCCCGAAGCAGAAAAGGAGGTCCGAGTAGTCCTCAGCCTCAGTGTCACGGGCGGCGGCAATGATCCAGTCCTTAGCAAGCTCCGCTCTCAGATCGCTCACATGCGGGCAGGCCCACAGCCGATGGTGCAACGAGTCGACCTCACCACAATGGATGCATTTAGAACAAACTTTGTATCCACAGGCAATGGCACGATCAGGAGTCCAGATGGCGTTACACGCCAGAGCACGAATCATACCTTTTTCACTGGGAGAAAACCTGCTAGACGCCAGAGCAGCACAGGGGACATCCAAGCAGAGGCGGCCTCCAGACGCCCATTTGCCGACCAGATCCCTCTCCAGAGCTCTGATCATACCTTCCCGACAAAAAAATACACAAGAGGGCAGGGGAGGTCACACCGAGGGGGATGTGGTACCCTCTGTCATCAATAATGGTCATGAAATTGTCCATGTGCCACCCTAACCTGACCAGACAAAGCCCGAGGGCAGAGACAGGACCCCCAACGAGACCCCAACTGATCCTGCTAAGGCCCCAGACGGCATTCCAAGAATCTCTAAGCTCCTTGAGGGCCAGGGAGTGCGGGAAGACCTTAGTCTGAGCAAGCCATATTTCTTTTCCCCACCTAAGCACAGGAGCGCAGGCCGCCCTCCAGGTGGGATCTCCAGCTAGAATGCAGCAAGCAGTGAGACTCCTGCCCTGAGAAAACGGCCGCACCGTCGAGAAGGCTTGCCTCCGCATCAGTAAAAGATCATTGTCAGAGACACCCACAATGTCAGCCCCGTAGGAGCCTCCCGCCAGAGGGCCCGAGGAAAAAACCCGCAGAGTTTTTCTCCCGAGATCACCCGAAAGCCTCTTGAGCCTCTTGGCTCGACGGCACATGGTAGCCAGCCTCGACTTGAGCTTACTAGCCCGACCTGAGGCTCGAATGGACTTGCCCGCCGTGTAGTCCACACCTAAGTTGACTGTGACATCCTCGATCCTACCTGCCAGACTGCCAAGCTGCTTGCCAACTTCACTGGCCACCGCCCTATTGGAGGAGACCGTGCACACTTTGGACAGGGCGAGACTGCAACCAAGCATGTCGGTCACTGCCGTGTGCAAGGCCTGCGAGCTGGCAACAATAGAGGCAATAACTCGGTGACGAGGGCCCGTCGCAGAAATCCCCGAATCGTCGATGTAAATGTCCAAATCACATCTGGGGGACAGGGGAATGGAGTCGAACGCGTCAAGGGCAAAGACCCTGATGAGGGTGGCGGCGAAACTGCAGCCCGCCACCGCACCTCGCTCGACAAAAAAGGGGCCCGCAAGGATGCCACCCAGGGACAGGAAACGGCCACACCGAAAGGCAAAGATGCAAAGGCGCGCAATCGGGGAGGGGAAACCGTGTCGCTGACATTGGGGCATCAACTTGGCAAGATCGATGGTCTCGTAGTACTTAAGCATATCGTAAAACACACTACACGAAACCTCATTCGACGCAGTGCCGTGCTCAGCCCGAACAGACTGCCTCCAAACAACGTCGGCAGCACCTCGATGCCCACCAGCAGCCCAGTACCTGCGGGGGTGCTCTTGCTCCCAGGCGAGGGCGAAGGGGCGCCGCAGCTTCCCCCACACCCTGTACCAGGAGCAAAACACCCCTATAGGCCTGTAGCCACCGGTGGGCTTCGAGAGAAGAGCGAGCAGCACGGCCGAAACCTGCTCGGGCAATTCGCCGAGCGCTTCCATAACTTCAAACAAGACGGCGAGCGAGTTCAACGCATCATCGCACAAGTACTGGAAGTGACGACAACTAAAGCCATCGTAGGCCACCGCAGAACACCTCTTGTACTTCTTGGAGACTTCCCTGATTTCGTCGGCCGAAACCCTCGGAAGAGACGACCCAAGCGTCGGGGGGCCTCTAGAGGCTCCAGCGCCCTTGCCCCAGAAGGCGGCAAACTTGAAACCTTCCGAAGCCAAGAGCGCCAGGGGATCGGACACAAGGGTGCCATCAGCAGAAAGGGTGGTGGTGGCCTTCCAAGGTGACGGGTCCCTGGTGAGCATGTGAACTCTTTTCGCTCCCTCGTCAAGGCCAGCGCGAATCCAAGCTTGCCAGCTTTGACGGGATCTCTTCTTGGCAGCGGACTGAGCATTGATGACCGCAACATCAATTTTGTCCCGAAGAGCCGCTTCGAAACAACTGCCCACAATGAGATCCCGACAAGGCTCGGCGACAGCACGGGCAACCTCTTCGAAGAGAGGCCGAAGGGCAGCAGAAACTTCAACCTGCTGCGGAGGCTCCTGTAGCAGCGTCGTCAGCGACTTCGCCTGAGGAGTGTCACCTTGGTTCGAATCCAGGAGCGACGCTAGGGCCCGATATTGGACGCTGAGCCACCGCACAGCATGATGTTCAGGATCCCGAATAGCATGGTCACGACCAACCAGCTTCTCCACACAAGCTGAGGGCCCTTGGATCTCGAACCAAGACAGGGGACAGACTGTCCCAAAATTGGCACAAGCTCAGCCTCGGCTTTGTCAGCCCAGGCCGCGTAGCAAGGCGAGAGAAGCGACGATGCGCCCCTTGCATCACCAACAGCAACACATTGGGAGGCCTGGTCAGCAAGCTCTCGCACAAGACTCCAGTCGGGGGGAGCAGGACGCGGTCCCACCACCGCCGAAACAGGGAGAGGAGGAGGCTTCCTGAAACTAAGACCTTTCAACTTGCCAAACGAAGCGTGCAACACCACTTGCACCGGTCTGTGGGGGCTCAAGGTAGTGTCCAGGACGACCTCACAGCTCTTAACAGTTTTCCCAAGCCCCCCCGAAAACACAAAGTGGTCCAGGGAGGACGGGGGACCCTCGCCAAAGTGAGTGTGGCCTTCGGCCACCACAGGCAGCCCAACCAACTTCTCGGCGAACTTCGAACTAGCTACAGTGTCTGGAACCATGTTGAAATCCCCTCCAATACAGAACGGAAGAGAAAGGGAAGACATACGTTCCCCTATACTGGCCAGGAGATCGACATTGCGCTCAGACAACCCTTCAGAGTGATGGAGGTAGACAGAGCAGAGAGCGAAACGATCACCTCGCGGGAGGTGCGCTATGCCAGCAGTCGCTCTGCCAACAGCAACCACCGCCCCCCCAGGGGGCTCATGAAGGCCGAGAAAGTCTCTGACAAGGATGCAAGTGCCAGCCGACGTAGAACCAGCGGCGGTCCCGTGGGCCGCAGTAAAGATGCCTTTCCACCCTTGGCGAGCACACCGCGCCGAGGCTTGGGAGAGGTCTTCATCCTCACGCAACCTGTGCTCTTGGCATAAGATGATGTGCGCAGGAGTCTTGGCCATGAGCTCCTTCATGGTCGACCATCGGTTGCAATTAACCGTGTGGATGCAAAGCTCCAGACTGTCCAGAAGGGCCGAGCCGTGACCAACAGAGGCCTCAGGGGAGCCCGAGGCGACGAAACTCACCGAAGGGTCCGAGGGGCCGCTGAAGAACTCGACAGGACTGCTCGGCTGCAAATCGACGAGCACAGGATATTCCTCACACGGGTTGGCAAACCCGAAAAAATGCGCCTCGCACGAGGCATCACTGTGAACAGCACGCGCCAGGCTGGCAAAACCTGAGGCAAGCACCCGCTTGGCCCTCCAAAGGGTGTGCTTGACCGCTCCACTGAGCGACGAGTGCGATCTCTTAAAGGCAGACGGTCGCTTCACGTGGGGAGGGGTCCAGCGGGAACGCCGAAAGGCACGAGAGCTGCGACTGCACACCGAGGCCGAGCCAGATGTGGCCCTGGCGGCAAAAAGCTTACCAGGCCCGAAAACGGGTGCCCCCAGAGGCTGGAGGGGCGTCCTGAACCGGGATTCCAAGCTGCTTCGAGCAAAAAGTGGGTACTGCTCGTGGGACCCTCCAGTTTCAACGCACGATTCCTGGAGGTACCCACAGAGAGACGGCAAACCCAGACAACCCCAGATACACTCCAGGGATCCAGGATGCAGAGCAAGAGGACCTGAGACCTCAGGCTCCTCGACTCCGAAAGAAAAAGCCAGCCCTACTCCTTCAGCAGCAGGCTGATGACACCCACGAGGGAGAGCGTCGACAGCAGCACCAGCGGGTGTGGGCTCTGCTTGCCAGCCGTGGCAACTCTCGTCTCCGCCCCAAGGTGCAAGGCCGAGGCCCAGAGCATTAAAGTCCCCTGCCGAGGGGAACGGAGAGAACATGTGCCAGGCTGGGCAAGTGAGCATGCCGCTGGATTGAACGTGTTCACGATGTAGGCCCCCCTGCTGATGCTCACGCGGCAGCAGGGGGGGGGTCTTGTTCAGGCTGCCCATGCTGAATGATCTTGGCGGCCCGCTGACGTAGAGCTGCAGACGCGGTAGCTTCAGCATCAACCTCTGGAAGCTGCTCTGCTGCTGCCTCTGGACCAGTGGCTGCGACGTCTGCGGCAGACTCAGCATCTCCGCCTCCATCATCGCCAGGAGCAGCACCGTCGTCAGTCTTCCTCTTCTTGGCCAGCCGTCCGAGATGCTCCTTGTGTGCCTCCTGGATCTTCTTGGCAGTCTCGGAGGCCTGCGCGAACAGCCGCTGTGCCAGCTTTTGGATGCCTTCTCGCAGCTGGTTGCCCCTCTTCTCGAGCTCCTCCTTGTCGGCCTCCGAGAGCTCGAAATCCTCGACGCCTCCAAGCAGCTCCGAGGGGTCAATGACCAGCTTGTCCGTGAAGGTCCCGTCCATGATTGATGACAGCGAACAAGGCACGACCTTGTCCTCTGGCACCTTCTGCAAGTCGGCCGCCGACGTCTGAGCATGAAGTGCAGCCACCAGTCGACGATGCTCACTGTCGGCCTGCTCACACTCCTCAGTGAACTTGGTGACCAAAGCACGCTGCTCCACCATCTGCACCGACCACTCCTCGAACCTCTGAACCGCGCCCTGCAACTTCCTCTCGAGGCCTCGCAGCTTGCTGTGGGCCATGGAAACCTGGTGCTGCAGGGTGGGCTCCTTGGCCACAGGTGGAGGCTTGGCCAGCTCACGATGTTTAGCCGCTCCCATAGCGTCACCAGCCTTGGCCAGCAGCTCCGCCAAAGACGCGTGCTCTTCACGAGAAAGAGGTGCCTCTGGCTTGGGTGGACCTCCTGGCGACTTGCCACCCTTGCCGCCACCATGGTCGCCAGGCGCGAAGGAGCCTGGTGGCCCACGAGCAGCAGCAAAGGGGGAGAACGGCAGGTTGCTGCGGAAGCCAGCCGACCAGACTCCCCCAGGCGTGCCGAAGGAAGTGGGCGTGCATGGCTGGAACGGGGTCCACTGAGAGCCACAATGCTTGCAGCGCGACCAGCGCATCTCGTTCTTCCTGCAGCCGCGCGCCGAGCATGTCCAGAGGGCGGGAGGACCGTCAGGCTGAACCCCTGGAGCCCGAGCAGCCCAAGGAGGACGAGGCGTGCCCCCGCTGTCGAACAGCGCGATCTCGTGCTCGAGGGCGGCCGCCGAGGGGATGCTCTTGCCGCCCTTGCCGCCGCCCTTGTCAAACTGACAACCAGGGCCGCGCTTGCCGAAACCGCCCTTCCCCATGGCGGCGAAATGATTATGAACTGTGAGGGTGCGGCCCTCTCCGAAGCTGATTGACTCGCAGGCACGAAGTGCCGTTTTGAATCCTGCACCTGCAACGCTCAATGTCTTGAGCGCAAAACGGCTTCGGTCTTGGACGACATTGGCTGCTGGGCATTGCTCAAATTACCTAACAGCTTTTGCTGATAGGTTTCTAGTGGTGTCAAAAGAGAGCAGCAAATGACTCCACAGGGGGGTCGGGGCGGGACCCGGGGAGCTGTGTCCGAACTCGTGTCCGAATGCGTTTTTCGCAAACAGTCACACACTTCGTGCTCTTCGACCTCCCAGAACTCCATTCCCGGGCCACATTCTGAATGCCTGGAGCCAACTGTAGGCCACTTCGTGCTCTTCGACTTCCCAGAACTCCATTCCCGGGCCACATTTGAATGCCCGGAGCCAACTGTAGGCCACTTCGACTTCCCAGAACTCCATTCCCGGGCCGACTTTGGAACTCCATTCCCGGGCCACATTTTGAATGCCCGGAGCCAACTGTAGGCCACTTCGTGGTCTTCGAGTTTCCCAGAACTCCATTCCCGGGCCACATTTTGAATGCCCGGAGCCAACTGTAGGCCACTTCGTGTTCTTCGAGTTCCCAGAACTCCATTCCTGGGCCACATGAATGCTTGAAGGCTGCTGAGGCAGGCTGATGCTGCGCCTGAGGCAGGCTGAGCCCAGGCTGAGGCTGAGGCCGAGGCTGAAGGCAGACTGAGGCTGAGGCTGAAGCAGGCTGAGGCTGAGGCTGAGGCAGGTGAAGCAGGCTGATGAGGCTGAGGCTGCAGGCTGAGGCTGAGGCTGAGCTCTGAGGCTGAGGCTGAGCAGGCTGAGGCTGAGGCAGGCTGAGGCTGAGGCCGAGGCTGAGGCAGACTGAGGCTGAGGCTGAGCAGCAGGCTGAGGCTGAGGCTGAGGCTGAGGCAGGCTGAGGCTGAGGCTGAGGCAGGCTGATGCTGAGGCAGGCTGAGGCTGAGGCTGAGGCTGATGCAGGCTGAGGCTGAGGCAGGCTGAGGCTGAGGCTGAGGCCGAAGGCAGACTGAGGCTGAGGCTGAAGCAGGCTGAGGCTGAGGCTGAGGCAGGCTGAGGCTGAGGCTGAGGCAGGCTGATGCTGAGGCAGGCTGAGGCTGAGGCTGAGGCTGAGGCTGATGCAGGCTGAGGCTGAGGCAGGCTGAGGCTGAGGCCGAGGCTGAAGGCAGACTGAGGCTGAGGCTGAGGCTGAGGCAGGCTGAGGCTGAGGCAGGAGGCAGGCTGAGGCTGAGGCTGAGGAGGCTGATGCAGGCTGAGGCTGCGGCAGGCTGAGGCTGAGGCGAGGCTGAAGGCAGACTGAGGCTGAGGCTGAGCAGGCTGAGGCTGAGGCTGAGGCTGAGGCTGAGGCTGAGGCTGAGGCAGGCTGAGGCCGAGGCCGAGGCTGCAGGCAGACTGAGGCTGAGGCTGAAGCAGGCTGAGGCTGAGGCTGAGGCAGGCTGAGGCTGAGGCTGAGGCTGAGGCAGGCTGAGGCTGAGGCTGAAGGCAGACTGATGCTGAGGCAGGCTGAGGCTGAGGCCGAGGCCGACGGCAGACTGAAGCTGAGGCTGAGGCAGGCTGAGGCTCAGGCAGAGGCAGGCTGAGGCTGAGGCTGAGGCAGGCTGATGCTGAGGCAAGCTGAGGCTGAGGCTGAGGCTGAAGCCGAGGCCGACGGCAGACTGAAGCTGAGGCCGAGGCTGAAGGCAGACTGATGCTGAGGCTGCAGCAGGCTGAGGCTGAGGCTGAGGCAGGCTGAGGCTGAGGCAGGCTGAGGCTGAGGCTGAGGCAGGCTGAGGCTGAGGCTGTGACTGCGACTGCCGTTGCCACTGCGACTGTCATCGCGAATGCGACTACGATTGCGAGAACAGCAGAATTCTACAACTGGATTCTCATCTGAATTTTAAGGGGAATGCTTCCAGATATGCTCCTACACATCGCTGTTAGGTTGCTTTGTCGGGATATTTGTTTCGTACCCATTTTGGGGCGGAGGAGGAGGAGGAGGAGGAGGATGAGGAGGAGGAGAAGGAGGGGGGAGGGGGAGGAGGAGAGGAGGAGGAGGAGGGAGGATGAGGAAGGAGGAGGAGGAGGGAGGATGGAGGAGGAGGAGCAGTATGTGCTCATGGAGCTTTTTTTGTTGGCTCTTCCAGGCTCGACCTCCTGCACGGGGCCGCGAGGCGCCGCGCGGGCCGGGGCCGTCCGTCCCTCCTGGAGGTTCGAGGATCCATCGAGGATGCCATCCTCCTCTTCTCCTCCTCCTCCTCCCTCCTCCTCCTCCCTCCTCCTCTCCTCCTCCTCCCTCCTCCTCCTCCTCCTCCTCCTCCTCGCTCCTCCTCCTCCTCCTCCTCCCTCCTCCTCCTCCTCCTCCGCCCTCCTCCTCCTCCTCCTCCTCCTCCTCCTCCTCCTCAGGATGGAGTCTCGATGGACGTCAGCTCTTGCCCGAGGCTCGGGGGCAGAGGTTCGGGGACGGATCGAGGATAGGGGCCCGAGGGACCTCCAGCCCTTTCCCTCCAGGTTCGAGGGTCGAGGCTCGAGGATGGATCGAGGGCCAAGGTCTGAGGGGCCTTCAGCTCCTTCTCGAGGTTCGAGGGTCGAGGCTAGAGGATGGATCGAGGATGGAGGTCCGAGGCACCCTGAGCTCTTTGTCGAGGGCAGAGGGTGGAGGCTCAACAATGGATCGAGGATCGAGCTTCGAGAGCAGGCTCCCCGACCTTGTGTCGGGGGCGTCCAGGGGGGAGTGGCTGCGACCAGGGCTGTGTGGATGTGCAGACGTCATTCAAGCAGTGGCGAAGCGTCCTGGCTCGCCTCTAGGCCCATCAAAGAATGCTCTGATAACCGTTTGTGGTCTGCACGCAATGTTCTAAGAATCTATCTGGCGTGGGCTGTCTTGTTTTGACACATCGGGTTTATGTTCTAAGACTAATGTTTTTGTCATTAAAACATTGCTGGGTTCTAAGAGCATCTCGTGGTAGGCCTACAGGAATGCCGGGACGGTCGGTCCCTGCTCAAGTCATGGCCCCCAGACATGCGACGCCCTGATTTTTCCAACACGGGGTCCAGGGAAGTCCCGACCCCCTCCCCGGGCCCCCTGAGGCCGACATTGGCACCCAAAAACCTCCCGTCCCGTTTTTTTTTTTCCCCACCCCCCTGGCTGAGGGGCAACGATTGGGGGGGACTGGCATCATGGGAAAGGGGGGGTTGCATCGACCTGCGATGCATCGCCGATAGAGCGGCGATGGGCCCCAGATCGTGAATCCGCACCTTCCTGGGCAGGCTGGGGCCATCGGGCCCCTATCAGCGATCAATGGGCGATGGGGGGTCGATGCGTCCCCCCCTGTGCCTGTCCCCCCCTATCGTTGCCCCTGATCCTTGGGGGCCAACGGACCGCCCCCACCCCCAGCCAAGGACCCCCTGGATCGCCAGGTCGGGAGTGGGGGCCCTGGCTGGGGTTGGGGGTGGGCTGGGCTGACTTGATGGATGCATGATGTGGGCTGTGGTGTCTGCACGGCTTCTATGCCGCCCGTGCACATGGATTGCTCTGCGACCGGCGGACGTTTCCGAGTTGCCCACGCGTGACTCTGCTGACCCCTCTGTGCCTATCTCCCCCCCTACCGTTGCCCCCCGCACCTTGGCTCCCGGCTCCCGGCTCCTGGTCCTCTGCGGCGCACCGCGGCCGCGCAGGGCCCCGCCGCGCCGTGGGTGCCCCCCCTCGGGGGGGGGGGGGGGCATCGGCGCGCCGAGGGGCGCGCGGCCGCAAGAGGGCCCCAGGGCGCTAGAATTGCGGAAGGGCTGAACAAAGGCAGCGGGTCGCATGGCCAGCAGCAGCAACAGCAGCGGAGTGGGGTGGAGTGGAGCTGCGGTTCTAGCCGATCGGAGTTGGGGGTTCGTTGCGTAACAAGCAAGAGGGCCCCAGGGCGCTCCCACGGAGGCTGCCTTCAGAGTTGAGTCGGGCCTGTCCCTCTGCAGGAGGAATGTTCAAGAATGGTCGAGAAGTGGTCTCGGGGCGATCTGTCTACTCTTCTGGACTAGTCTTGAATATCTCTTGTCCTGCGTCTCAAATCCGCCTGTTTGGGGACATGCCCGACCTGAGGCGCGCCGCCGAAAGAGGGCCCCAGGGCGCTCCCACGGAGGCTTCCTTCAGAGCCCCCCCCCCCCCCCCGGGGGGCGAAGGCTCTCCTCTTGCCATCGCTCGGACGTGTGCGCATGCGCGATTTTATCGGCGAGGGCCATCGAGAAGCATGCTGGCAACAAAAACACGACGCCGAAGCGTGCGCGTGGCATGGACGCCCGAGCGACGGCACGGCCCAGGGTGCCGCGAAGAGCGCGGCAAGCTGCACCCGAGAGAGCCGACCGTGCATAGTGGTTCTGCCCTGAAGCGTCTCTGCAGTCATCACGCTCTCGATGAACCTGCGGAGGGCTGGTGGGAGGGCTGGTGGTCAAAGTGTGGATTGGGCAGGGCAGGGGATGGCCGGGGACAGTTGCCGATTGCCGATTCTCGCCCCCCCCCCGCGCTTGCACAACGGTTTTCACGGATCGCGCCATGTCTCGGTTGCTC